ATTGAACTTTTGAGATTTCTAAATTGTTTTAGAAAATGTTTTAGTAGTTTGACTGAAATTCGATTGTATGTAGTCAATTTTTTTATTAGATATCTTTATTAAGGTTTTATTTTGTGAAGTTTCACGATGGTAGTTGCTCGCGAATTTAATGTTGATTTTTGTTCTGAAATTTGGAACGCTTACTATTTTATTTCTTTGAAAGAAAAGAAATGCAGCTGACGTGAAAGAAATTATTTGGAAATTCATAGTATTTTTAGAGCATTATTTTGTTTTGACAAATAGGTATGTTTTTTTTTTATATTCAACTCTAGTGTTGAGTTCGAGAAGATTTGCAAAATTTTTCAGGAAGTTCTTTAATTTTTAAATATTCGGTACTGTTGTCAATTTTCCTTTTTACTTTATGTTTTTGTCGTTGAAATTGTCATTATGTTTTGAGGATTTTTCGGATGTTTTTTTTTTTGTTTTACGGCAGTATTGAGATGTCATGCGGTTTAGTAGGTTTCATTTATTTTGTTGTGGGGAGAGCAATTTTTTTTTGTGTGCCGAACTGGTGCGATTTCCCAGCGGCCGTTATTGGTTGTAAGATGTATTGCAGATCCAATGTAAAAATGAACCTCAAGTTTTTAAATTCGCAAATTTTAGAATGACATTTAAAGTTATTTTTCGATCAGGTTCTTTTAAGTCCGTACCATTTTGTTCTTTAAATCTGATATTAGTCTGAAAAATAATATCCTGAATAGTGAGTTCAAGGATCAGATGGATTTCAGTAGGGTTAGGGTTTACCTACAAAGTCGTGGAATGTTGTCCTCGGTGAAGGTTTATTTGGAATAACCGCTTTGTGGAATTCTCAATGACCCTGACAAATCTGAGAAGTGTGATTGTGGTACTTTGGTTCAGTGGATTCGGACAAAGTTACAGAGCAATGGGAAATTCCAGTTGTAATTCCAGTGTCTCAACTCAGTTTTGTAGTTTGGGAGTCCGATTTTTTTTGTGGACTTAAGAATTGGCCACCATATGAGTTGCTAGGTTCATGGATTTGACTAGCCAAGAGGTGTTGTCCAATCTCCCGTATTTGAGGACTCTGCAAACAGGTTTTCGAGTTGAGCTGTTTGGTTGCTGCGAAGTATTTGCGAAACCCCAATCACCAAGATTTGTTGTTTACATGGTTCACAGAGATTCGTTCTCACAAATGAAGCCGGACACATGGAAGACTAAAACCATTTGGAACAAACTATTTCAGTAAGGATTAAGTACTTAAAGTCATCACTCAAAAATCAGATCAGCTATGGTGTTTCTAAATTATGTAACTTTGCATTTTCTTCGATTTTTATGCAAAAGAACTGTTCTTTATTATGTTTCTCAGAATGTTTTGTAAACTTCCCTCCTAGGTAAATTGACGAGTCCGAATTTTGTGTTTTCCCCCTGATTAATTTTTATATTTTTATTTCTGGATTTATGAAAAAATAAGGTCAGTTGAATTCCTTTTGAATTGTTTTAGAGGTTTTGCCATAAATTAATTGTCAACCCCAGAATCCACCACTTCAGCTGGAATGTGGGCAAATTTCCAAGAATTTCTAAAGATTGAACTAAAGAATTTTTGTTTTGAAAAAACAAGAAATGTATCAAGATTATTTGTACGTTTCAAGTCATGTGTATCAGGTCTATTATTAATTAATGTGTTCATTCTCTTTTTCCCCTGAATTAATTAATAATTAATTCCTTATTAATATATTAAGCCTGTATTATTTTTGTCGCGGATTGCCGCTCGCTTTAAGAGGGGGGGGGGTATCTGTGACGGTAATTTTTCCCGTCACTTAAGTTCGAATAAGTATTTAATCATATGTAAAAAAAATTTCGATGGCTACAACGGTAGCAGATGATGGCGACAGTAGCGCACTCTGTAGGGACGGTGAAGTAGCGGAATACCGTAGTACACCGGTCGGCCGCCGCGCGCCACTCGAGCGCTCTCGCGGAGCGATCCGGACCCGGCTACACAGCTGTTTAGCGTGTGCACGACGTCTCGGTCGTTCAGACTCCTGGAAAAAGGCGGTTTTTTTTATTATTTTGCTTTATTAGTTAATTGGTTTCAGCAAATTTACTCAAGAAAGTCGCAAAGCTAATTTAGGCAAATCATTTGATGTAAGAATGAATTTATTTGATTGTATATTAAACTTTTTGAAGTCGAATGAAGTTGGTCGATGCACACGGAAGGTAGATGAAATGAATTTGATGGGGTCCCGACCGGTACCTCGCAGCGCTTGTCCGATTTTTCGGATCCCTTCATTTGCGTAGCTGTGCACGAGATGAGTAGCACGCTTGCAAATGAGGGCTTGATTTCTCATCTCAATTATTCTCTTGAGTGACTCACCCATTTCTAGGTAGCTTCTATGGTGAATGAATGCATGAGCATGGACTATATATTTAGTAATCTATTGTTGAAATTTATTTAAACGAATTTTCTTCTTATTCGGAAGATATTCAATTTAATTTAATCATGAAAAATAAATCTCTCATAATTGATCAATTTCCAAGTGTGCACGTGGTGAGTAGCACCTGGGATTTTGGTTGTTATCGGAATTTATTTTGGAAAATATTTATTTCGTATCCTAAATCTACCATTCAAGATTGAGTGCACGTGGTGAGTAGCACCGGTTGTTTGGGAGATTTAAGGTAAAATAAATAATTGAAGAGTAATTCATTCGAAAGTTCGAACCCCTTTTTGTCCCCTTTTCCGTTCCTTTCAAAGTACCTATTTTAAAAAGTCAATCCGATCAACAACATTCACCTTCAATCGTCCTAATTTTGATCTCGTATTTAGTTTTATTTTTTTTGTCTTGAGAATTTTTTAAGTTTGTAATTGTGTTCAAAAGGTAGTTTCTTTTCTTGTCAATAAAAATTGACTCTAGTACGTTCAAATTTGCTCTCATTATTCCTTCCTGCAACACCTGTCCTCACCTCAGGAAAATTTTATTTTTTGATTACGCACTTCGAGTGTGTTGGCGCCCGAACCCAGGCGTCCCGACGAGCATCTGNGGGGGGGGGGGGGGGGGGGCGGCTTAGCCGGGTTAATGGGGGTGTGCCTTCCTCAAAATGAAGGGTGTACAGTGGCGGAGGTCTTCTCCCGATTTTTTTGTGTGAAAAATACCCTTTTGGAGGGCTTGAGCGCCTCCCCCTGGTTACGTACCTATCGGTACTTACTCGAATATGCTTAGGACAAGGGGTGCAGAAAATGCTCTCAGAAGAATGTGGAAAAGCCCCCAAAAATGTGGAAGGAGGGAAAATTTTTGAGGGTCACCAGTCGAGTCAACGAAAAACAGGAAAATAGGTAATCTTATTTTAAATTTGTGGGAAATTTTGTGGAAAACCGACGAGAAAAATTTGGACAACTGGCTGGCGGGCGCGTGAAAATGTGGAAGCTTGGAAGATTCCGCACCCCTGCCTAGGACGAGTCCAGTGTCGTGGCGTACTGTGCGATGTATCGATTGATCTGTCATTTACACCTATGGAAAGGGATCGATAAACAGGGTGTTCGCAACGAACACCTTTATAATCGATTCTTTACTGTAGCTTCAAATGGGGGAAACATCGACATTTTTTCATCTCTTCGGATCCTAAGGGTCTCCATGGATACCAGTATCCATGCCCCCTCTGTAAAAGCACTCTACGAACCGGGTCCATGACCCGTAGCTTCAGGCGCTGTTTGAGTATTATTATGAGCTGATCGAAGGAGATGAATATAGGTTTTCGCGCGAAACGGAACATCGCCATCCGAAGAACTGCCGTGGGTGAATTGGAACCTTTCTCTTCTGTGTCTGCGCCGGGCGATAATTAGTTTCGCGAATAATCAGCAAATCAGCGGCTTATTCCAAATGCATAGCACATCGAAGTCGAACCGAACGTCACACAGTTAATCGAACTTCAGCGACTTATAAGCTCTGCCGTGCTAAGGATGAACGCCGTATGAATATTCGAGAGTTGCCAAATCGCCCCGGAAAAACATACATTTTTGAAGAAAAAAATATTCGTATTTTTCCTTGAAATTTTTAGACGTTTCAGATAAAATTGCGAACAAAACTATCTTAAAAAATGAAGAAAAACATTCATAATTTTTTTGGTAAATTGGGTTTTTATTGAAGAAAATATGGCAATGTCTGAAGGCCCATACGGCGTTTTTCCTCACCATGGCAGAGCTGAGGATTGGGTTGCAGATTTCAAGTAGGTCCTATTCGATACATCAAGCAGGTGAGATTGTATCGATATCGATTGGTTCAACATGTGAACATAGCCTCAAAAGTCAATTGAGTAATCTGAGGGAACGGTTTTTTTGTGATGGATTATTGATTCTAATGAGTACAACATGGAAATTAAAGGTGAAATTGTTAGGAATTTTCTCTTTTTCAGCTTTTTCAACTTAAATCCTAAAATTTTTGTTTGAAGGTTATGTTCTATTGTTTTGAACCAAACGATACATCTAACCACAATCGAATACGATCCATTTCGGTCGAAAACTCGGAAAAATCGAAATCGAGTTCACAATTCAGCTAACGGTTAAAATCAAACAATTTTTGTTCAGACAAAAATTGTACTGAAAACGTTGACAATAATGCCGTCATGTCGGAGCTTTTTCATAACACCTGTCCCGAAAATCGAAGAATTGGACTTTCTTGCGGTGGATTTTGAAAAAGCACTGGAAAAAAAGTCGCTTGGATCTACAACAAGAAAAAATACTCTTGACTCAATCGGATATTTGCTTAGATCGAGAGCCAAGCCTCTTAATTTAAGCGGATTCCCTTTTGATTCAAGCAAAAATCCGATTGAATCGAGAGTATTTTTTCTTGTCGTTGTTTTCAAGAGTCTGGACTCAACATCCAAGCGACTTTTTTTTCCAGTGAGGTAAACACAACTGGATTAGAGTTTAGCTTGGTTTTCGGCTCACAAGAGCGTTTCAACGTGTTAAGTTTGGCGGAATCCATAATTAATATCTTTTTTTTTATGTGCAGTTTTAAGTGCGGAAAGCTGCAAAGACGACATGGCTTGCTTGACGATGGCGTCGCAAGATCGGCTCGGTCTCGAAGCCATCAGGTCCCTCCACCGGCAGCTGGACGACGATGCTGACGGAGCTGTTGATCTCATGGAATCCGATGAGGTGAGCCCAACATATTCTTACCTCTACACGTACAGGGTCATCCATAATTCCCGCACCAACCCCTCTAAACCTTCGGCTTCCTCCTCTTTTTCAGGTATCCCGGGTTCCGAGGGTGAAATTAAAAATATGAAATAATGAACATTTCCGAGAACTTTGTCATGCAGTTTCATAAAATTGTGAAAAGTATGAAACATATTTTCAGGGGCTGGGTATGCAACACGCACTAAAAAACTCCAAAAAGTAAAAACGAGTTGCATTCCATTTAATTTTGCATTTGATTTTGTAAAATATTTTTCACATTTCTCTGACATTTCATGAAATTTTCCAGTTTTTATTTCTCATAAAAAATTGCAACCTTGCAGGTAGGCCTCTCATAATTTTTTTTTTTTTTNGGGGGGGGGGGGGGGTTACCAAAAGTCGTTTCCTTTGACCTAAGAGCACGCAAAAAATGAATGTCGAGTCTCCATCTCAATTCTTTCAGAAGTTACAGAGTTGGTTCCTAGTGCTGGTGATGCGGACATTTGGATCGCCCTGTATATAGAGTGAATTATTTTTCCACGATAAGACATACTTGTCCCTTGGATTTCGCAGAAAGTGATTTTTTCTCTTCTGTCAGAGTATGATGGACCGATCGGGTGTACGGCGCTTGACTGTTTCTCGTCCGCGGCCGGTTCATGGTTTTTTAATCTTCCCGCGTCGGAAAGAGCCTCAAAGGCTCCCTGGTAAAAATTGGCAGTAGAATCTGTGTTCCAAAATACCATAGACCTACAGCCGGCTATAAGATTTCCAATAGCTTCTAAAGCCGGCTGTAAGATTTCCAATAGCTTCTATAGCCGGCAACACAATCTATCTCTATCTATACTATAAGCTCCGAGACCTCCTAATTTTGCGAAACTGGTAACGCTTAGTTCCAGCGTTCTACCGGGCCGATTTTTATGATTTTTGCGGCTATCGACGGGCAATTGTCTCTAGATAAGCCAACTTTTTTCAGATTTTCAAAAATGGCCCAGGTTTTTTTATATTACGTGGTAAAGTTGCGAATTCTCCCATTTAAACAATGTAAATTTATACTTTTTGTCATAGTTCGTTTGAGCGTTCTACCGGGCCGATTTCCATGATTTTTGCGTAAATCGACAGGTAATAGGCCCTAGATGAGCCCGCTCTAATCATATTTTGGAAATAGGACCCAGGTTTTTTTTAAAATCACGTTATAAAGTTGAGTGAATTTACGGAATGCTCTGGGACTGCTACCGCTATGCGCGGGAGGATGCGCAGTGGTCGAGGAGGTTGCGCAGTAGCTGGGTAGCCTGCGCATCAGCTCTATACTTATCTACACCAGATTCACGTGCATTTCGTCTTCTCTAGCGGTGGCCGAGTCGTCTAAGACGTCGGATGCGTTTACCTGGATCACGGTGCACTATGGTCCCAATTCACTTTTCAGTGATCAAAAATCATAGCGGCTCTCCGTTTGAGTATAAATACATTTAAGATATGCTTTCCCCATGATTTTGATGCGCTGAATCCGAATTTGACCTTCGCTTTTCCCTAAAAAATCATTTGCAAAAGTTACCGTCATTTTTTCACATAAATCACAAACTGCCATACGATTGGCTTGTTATACTTGCTTAGATTGGATGAAAANGCGGTGTGGGGTCGATCCTCGACACATGACTCACTTAATTATTACCTGATTATCAATTCTCGTTGTTTTACTGCAATATCTCATCGAGCAGTCATTCCAAAACGCGTCCTTTTGACTTCAAAAAAGATTTTTTTTTTTTTTACTCATCAAAACCAAAAATTATTTCATTCTAAAAGTAAAGTATACTTCATATCGTAATTTTTTAGGGGAAAAATGAAACTAACACTGATAGAAGGGTAAAAATAGGGCCGCGAAGCGGCCCATTGATGGCGCGAAGCGCCCTCAGGGGGTTGGGCCGCGTAGCGGCCAGGGGGCGTAGCCCCCTAGTTTCTTATAACCTTTTATAGCCGATGGCGATTAAGCAACAGCCTGGCGATAAAGTGTATGCTAAACGTTATTAATTACGGACACTAGGACTTAGTGAGTTTTAGCATGGACTACCGCTCTCTTTTTGGGCCGTAGTATCTTGATTTATTTTGCGAGGAAAGCTCCGTACTTTTGAAGGATGCCTGCCATTCCTAATATGTTGGAGCGCCTTCAATTTTGTATGATACTGTGCAATACCTCTGGTGTGGAATAGTTGCTTCAAGCACCGTGGTACGCGGCGGCGCGGCGGGCGGGCAGCCAGCCGAAACGCGCATTGGCGCCTACAAACCTAACAGGGATACTTCACGCATTGCGTAATGCGTGAAGTATCCCTGTTAGGTTTGTAGGCGCCAGTGCGCCGCCGCTCCGCTTTGTGTTAGGCTCTAATATTTAATCTCGTGGAGTCAGCGTTTTTCAACTCATGACTTTGAAATGTTTGCACACTCTGTATGGCTTATTCTCACTTAATTGATGAAAAATACTATGTAGTAAAGGAAAATATAATGTGCGTTTTGTAAATATTAAGGTGATTCCGTACAAACTGAAGGATTTACAAAGCACACGAATTTCCACACAATTTCTTATAGCCTTTAATAGCCGATGGCGAAAAAGCAACAGCCAGGCGATAAAGTGTAAAGCCCGACGATCGGAAATATAGCCCGGTTGTATAATTCCTCATCGCTTCGTGTAGTCCGGCCGTATGAATTTTTCCACTTTCTACAGCTAGCTATATGATTTTCTATCGCCTTCTTCAGTCGGGTATAAGAACTCCTATGGTATTTTGAAACGCAGCTCCTATCGCCAATTTTTACCAGGGCTCCACCAGGGTGACCAAGTTCTTGTAACTTCAGGGAAAAGTCAGTGAATTTTGCTGCAGAACTTTGAAATTCTCTCGTCAGGCCGAAGTGTTTAATCATTTTCCATTGCAAGGAACGTCACGCTAAAAATTAATTGTGAAAAGCATTCTCATAAAGGATCTTACCAAAATAACATCGGAAAGTCATGGAACAATCAGGGAATTCCTCGTTTTGAAACCCTGCAAAATCATGAAAAATTCAAGGCATTTTAAACTTTAAGGAAACTCGTCACCCTGTCAAATTAACGGAATATAGTTTTGGGCTGGAGCTCATGAGTCAATAACGTAATTTTCGAGACATCAAGTACATGACTGGTTCCCTAGGCAGAGGGTTTAACACAAAGTTGCCAGATTGTGCAATTAGATGTAGATATTTTACATGTGTTTAAATGGGGAAAAGTGCGCTGAAAAATCAGCACTACCTGGCTACATGGTTTAATACCAACTGTCTCTGGATCGACTCGGGCTGCACATAGAGTACATAGAGTCGTAATGTAATTGGGAGAGCTGGCGCCACTTTTAAGCATTTTCCATGTCCCGAATTCCGAGACTCCTGTGTGACGCCGGGTCACTTTTTCGATACATAATCGATTGTTTGCGATACACAGGTACCCGGTCATCCGATGACAACAACAACAACAACAACAACAACAACGGAGATAGGGATTACCATGTATTCCACACCGCCATTTTGGATCGAAAATGTATCGAAAAAGCGACCCGAACTCGGCGCACACCGGGCTCGGAATTCGTCGAGCAGAACATGGCGCCAGCTCTCCCATTTACATTACGACTCTATGTACTCTATGGGGCTGCAGTACAGTCGTGGGAGCCTTTTTGCTTATCTAAAAGAATGTGAATATGACACTTGGTTTTGATCATCAACTTTACATGGTTGCCAAGATTAGTATATATTAATACTTATTATAATTCAACACAAATAAGAATGATCCTAGACATTTGATTGACCCTAGACATTTGATTGACCCTAGAATTTTGATTGACCCAGTTGGCTATTTCCAATGGATGCAACTGCATTCTCTGATGATGCGGGGTTTTTTTTTTTAAAAGCAATTATAGTAAAAAAACCAAGCGCATTTTCACGAATTTTTCATCGCCTTTCATTAGTTGGTATTTTATTGACAGAGAAATTAAGCGCTGAAAGAATTTCCCAAAAAAGGTACGCAAAATTTGGCAACGTACTCTATAATATTTGAGGAGGAGGTCTTTTCTCATGATTTTTTTTTAGTTTTTCTCTGTTTTCAATTTTTTTAAAGCATGCATCTTTTTGCGTTTTATTTTCTACTTTTAACGAGAATCAACTGTCATAAGAAACAAAAATCTCAGTGATGAAATGTTGTGCACGCGTAATCGGTCCTCGAATATCCATTGTTAATCTGATGTAACCTGAGTGAAAATGTTTTGATGGAAAATATTATAATGTAAAAAATTGGAAAAATTCTTCAAAATAGAATAGTGGAGATAAACAATATTATACAAGAGATATCACACTGTTGCGCTGTCATTGTTTGTGTCTCATCAATGCCCCCGGTATTTTCAGAGAGGAGCTATAAAAAGTGATAATGTGTGCATGATACCATTGTTCTTAAGTTTCCTCTTGCAATTTACTTTTAATAGCCAAAAGATTGAGACTCAAGCTGTCCAAATTTAGACCAATAAAAAAGAGAAAAAGAATGGTCGCCTCAGAGGTAACTGAACCGTTAACTTGGGGCCTAATTAATTTAATTCAGCTTACTTTTTTTAATAAACTAATCACTGTAATTGGCATAATCACCTAACCGATGACATCATTTTTTGTACCAGATACAGTACTTTTGTCTTGAGTTGCGATATGGTGTAATGCCATGCTGAAGATAAATGTCTTATGAACTTTCGATAGTTGCCAAAAATTTCAATTTTCAATACTTTCCTCTTCTTCGTGTTTTTACATGAATATTCGTCTAACTTTTCAGATCAAAATGTGAGCAGAAGTATGTTGAAAATTATAATGTAAATAAACACTAATTATTATAAACACAATTTCTCGGGAAATGTAAATTTTAGCTGACTGGAAACTCTTTCGGAAAAGTTGCTACTTACTTCCCAACTGTCATCCCCGCACATTGGTCCTTTCGTAGATGTCTAGCGTTTTATATCTTGATCTATTAAATAATTCGAAAGAAGTGACAAACTTTTAATTTCTGATTGGTCGAGAATCATGTCACACCTCGTTAAATTTTCGGATCGAACAATAGATCGTATTTGATACATCAAACAGGTGACGAGATTGTATCGATCTCGATTAGTTCAACGTGTAAACATAGCCTCAAAAGTCAATTGAGTTAATCCGAGGGAACGGGGGTTTTTTTGTGATAGATTTTTGATACTCTTAAGTACAAATAAATGCCAATGAAGACTGAAATTGTTGGGCTTTTTCTAATTTTCAGCTTCCCCAACTTAAATCCTACAATTTTTATTCGACATTATGCTCTATTGTTTTGAACCAAAGGATATATCGAATACGATCTACACATTGCGTGGCGCATAACCCCCTCGAGTGGAATGTCCAACGCCAGCGCAGCGTGGCGATTCATTCTAGGCCCTCGAAAAGTGGCGTATCGAAGGAGTAAGAAATTATTTTCGTCCATTTTTCAGAACATAAAATTCGCTCGGTAAACAAGGGATTGGGTTGGCGGGGGGTCTCCAGATCGACGACTTATTAATAGAGCGGAGGCGCTATAACTCGCCGAAAATCCAAGCTTTCGTGATATCTCAGATCGGAGGGTCCTTCTCGTTAGTCGCCAGGTGCTAGGTACTCAATGCACGCCAATGGGGAATTTCTATCCGCGGCACACTGGAAAAAAAAGTCGCTTGGATCTAGAGTCCAGACTCTTAAAAATATCGACAAGAAAAAATACTCTTGATTCAATCGGATTTTTTGCTCGAATTAAAAGAAAACCCGCCTAAATCAAGAGACTCGGTTCTTCGATTCAAGGAAAAATCGGGTTGAATAAAGAGTATTTTTTCTTGTCAATGTTATTAAGAGTCTGGACTCTAGATCCAAGCGTCTTTTTCCCCAGTGCAATGGAAAAATTCCCCCTTTTTCATCTCAATGCGTGCTTCTTGGGAGGCTTATGGTGGTTGGCTCATGCCATTAACATGACAAAAAATTCGCCAGAAAAATGCTCGTTTTTACCTGTGTTAATGGGCGTGTTTTCTTTGAATGTCTGTGCAGTTCTTAAGAGAGGAGCTCAAGTACGAGAATGGCGCCGAGCGGAGGCAGAAGGCGTTCCACCGAAACGACGACATGCATATATCGGTGAAAGAACTCTGGGATGCCTGGGTCAAGTCAGAGGTAAGTCTTCTTTATCGTAGTCTTCAAATATCCTAATCTCTCCTTCAATTTTTCGGTTATGCAACTCGAAATACGGCTAAGTGAGTGCGTCTCTTATATCTCACAATCAGGTCCGGAAAATTGGGCTAATTTGTCCGGAATAGGTCTGGAATTCTGGAGTAAGTCCAGTTTACGTCAAAGGTCCGGAAACAACATCTAAAGATTCATCTGCGAGTTGCTTAGTCGAAAAAATCATTCCTGAAAGAGCGCAAGACAACCTCTCGGTAGCAAGTTTCGAGAAAATGAGAAACATAATTGGATTGCACTTAGAAGAAAGGAACCACGAGTATTCCAATGTTGCTGTGTGCAACTTTCTTTACCTTGCGAATTTGAACTCATCATCTAAACAAGATTTATCTTTACTCCCAATGAAAAATAATTTCAAGACAAAAACTACCGTTGAAAATGTAATTTTTTGCGTGATTTTAGTAATTTCCGCAGAGAATGTAAGTAGCGCAGTCTTGACAACATCGGATTGTTCTTGGTTCCTTTCGCAAAATGCAATGCAATTATCCTCTCTCTTTGTGTTAAAATGTTTGTAAAAGTTTTGCAAGTGGCAAACATATCTATTGAATTATCATTAATTACTTAATAATAGGGTATTTATGTTAATAATGTATAGACAGACACCCTACTTCTAACCAAAATACATAGAGAAAAAAAAGGAGGTGTTTGCTTTTCGGGCATCTTGGAATATTTTTGATGACGAAGGTCGGTACGGTGACTTTTATCGTCGATTTTCTTGGAAAGGTGTAGTTTATGGAAAAATTCATTCTACATTTAGTGTTTGAAATTATATCATGAGATGACTAAAGCAAAAAAATCGGACGTTATGGTTCGTTTCTCATACTTCGAATTCCGGATTTAGCTGACCAGGTTGTACCGACCTACGTCACAGGGTATGCACAATCTGAAGATGCAACCACCTCCTTTTTTCCTCTAAGACCAAAATATACGTTTCCTGCTAGCTTACTTAATTTTGATTGACTTTGAAATCAGGTGCACAATTGGACGGTGGAGCAGACCTCTGAATGGCTCGCCAGCAACGTGGAGCTGCCGCAGTATGTGCCGATTTTCATCCTCCATCGTGTCACCGGTGCCCACTTACCGAGGTTCGTACGTCTTTCTCGCTAGTAGCCTGTGTATTTAGACGTCAGTGCCTCCCTTCCCCTTTTTTCATCTATTTCTCCATGAATTTTCTAGTTTCCAACCCGACTAATACTACCCATTTTAACAGTGTCAAAGAAAATTTTCTTTCATCGTCATTCTAAAAAACACACGAATCCGAATTCAGATGGCAAATCTTCACTTTAAACATTCCTTCCTCAGTAGCTTCTCGTTAAGGATAGGTATGGTTATAGGACATTTCGTCAACGATTTTTTGTCCGCGTACCTGTTTTTTCCAGTAATTTACGTCCAGGAGTTTTTTCGGCACGGGAGTTTTGGTCCACGTGCCACTTGAAACCCAAAGTTAATTGGCCCACATGTAAATACAAACGATAATTGCTCACGACGTTTTTGGATGAAAATGTATAATGTCTCGGAGGAATGAGGGTTTGCTTGTTTTTTTGTTTTGTCTCTTTGGTCCAATGGAGAATAATATGTAGTTGAGAGTTTTGGTAAAAATGGGAGAGGGTCAATTCCACGAGACAAAATTCACTAAAACTCTCTACACCTCTTTGGTGTAACAGGGCTTAATTTTTTTTCAAGAAATTCCCACCTTGTTATACCTGAACCGGATAAACCTCTATAATTGCCTCAGCTGAAGGCTCTTAGATTTTTCCTGTGTACGATAAGAATCTTGATTTATTTTGCGAGGAAATATCTGTACTTTTAAAGGATGCCTGTCATTCTTAATACCTTCAATTTTGTATAATACTGTGCAACACCTCTGTTGTGAAATAGTAGCTTCAGGCGCCGCCGCACGGCGGGCGGGCGATCAGCGCGAAACAGCGCATTGGCGCCTACAAACCTAAGTGGATACTTCAAGCATTGTGCAATGCGTGACGTATCCACTTAGGTTTGTAGGCGCCAGTGAGCCTCTCGCGCTGGCAGCACGCCGCTAGCCGCTCTGTTAGGCTTTAATATTTATACTCGCATAGTTAGCGTTTTTTAACTCATGATTTTGAAATGTTTGCACACTCTGCATTGATCATTCTCGTTTAAATTGATGGGGAAAAAAATATGTATCAATTTATCTAAGGAGAATAATAGTATAATGTATGTTTTTTAAATATTGGTGTTTCCGTGTCAAATTTAATGATTTCCAAAGCACTTTAATTTTTTATTTTACATTTTGTGCTTTTATTGTGCTGCAGCGAGGTGTACGCGCAACCAAACGCTCAAAATGTGACGTATTTGACTCTAAAAGATCGACGTACAAATGGATTAAAACTAAAGATTGCGTGCTTCTTGGTTTTTTCCCCTCTTTTATTCATTTTTGCAGTTTCTGTCGGCACAACTGCGGCTCATTGAGATTAATGTCGCTTGGAAAAGGTTTTACAAATATTTGCCACGTTTTAAAAATATAAATGTTTTCAAAATGAAGTAATAATTTCGTAAAGAAAAAATTAAAAAAAAAGGTACCTATACATATATAAGGTATATTGTACATCGCATATTTTAAGGATAGAAATAAAACCAAATATTCACCAATGACAATTTAAAAAGATGATCCAGAACGAGAAAATAATAACATTTCATTTAGAAAATGAGTATAACCATAACAACACATCTTTCTCTCTCAATTTCTCATTTCCATATTGTCGATATAATTTTACATACCGACTAAAATATAACGCTTGGACTAAGTCAATGTTGCTTATTTTACGTGTGGGCGTAAACTACTGGACAAAAAAGGTGCGCGGACAAAAAATCGTTGACAAAATGTCCTGAAACCTCTGTCTATGTTTTTCTTTATGAAAATGAATGATTCTTGAATTCAATTATTTTAGTCGTGACAAGGAAATTTTCCTCTTGGGAATAACATGCTTTAAGTTGTCAATCTAAAATATTTCATTACTAGAAAACTTTCGTTAATAAGGTGTATGCGGCTCAGAGGCGGCCAACTTTGTATACTAAACTTTTGGAAAAAATTAAAAAAAAAAAACAAAAACAAATAGGTAAGAAAAATTGATCTTACGTAAATGAGAAAACAAATCTTGGTTTGTAAAATATTAAGAGGTAGTATATAGACGTAAATAAGAATATAATGGACCACTAGACAACGTACGAATTTAAGGATTCTGATACATGTTTCTTAACCAGAATTTCACGTAGAACACGATTCGCGCAACAAAAATTACTGAAACCAATTCCTAACGGAGATATTAACGTTTTTATTTCACATTGGTTACGCGGATTTTAAACTGCCCGCTCACAAGAAACTCAAAGCTCAACGTGAGTCAAATCGCGCACTACAACGGTTTCAGCAAGCTTCTCAATCGAGCAATGTCCGTTTCCAAACTACAAGTAATTTGCTGCAGCTGAGCCAAAGCGTCAAGATTGAGGTTGTCAGATTTTTTTTATCGGTGAGACGTTCATGATAACGTTTAGCGAGCGATGTGAATAACGTAGAGCTTTGAGTTTTCATGAGCGGTTGGTTTGAATTCACGCACCAAGAATCATTAAATATCTTCGGAAAGAGTTGATTTCGGTAATTTTCGTTGTGCACATCGTGTTTAACGTGAAATTTTGGTGAAGAAGCATGTATCAGAATGCTGAAATTCGTACCTTGTCTAGTGGTCCATTATTCAATTAAATATGAAATAAACTATCTACATATTGCCAGTCATTCTTGAATAAGTTCAGACAAGTCGTAACGAAGTACAATTACTAGAAAGTAATTTTAGATACATTTCATCAACTTCAGTTTTACTATTGAAATGTTAGTTGATGTTTAAAATCGCTTCCTATACGCTAGAAGTATTTTTGCAGCTCAAAGAGAAGCTGCTAATTAAACGTTTTTCTCTGTCGTAATTTGTCCGATTTTCCTCGATGAGGGGTATGACGCGAAATTGCCTTGTGCCAAAGCCGCACGTCATTTCAAATTTCGCGCGCTTCCGAAGCTGAGCTTTGCTCGAAAATGATGAATGCTCATGAGCTTTAGTGGCAGGAATATGAGAAACGTCGCCATCTCAATTCTTTTATTTTCAGAAAAAGTGCTCTGCTTCCTGATTGGCTCCCCGCTTTAGACTTTTCTCGGAGCTCTTGAGGACTTACGTAAACAAACCAAATTTAGAGGAATTAGTATATCAGAGGGAAAATTGAATGGTACTCACGGAAAAATTGTAATCCTCCGCACAAATATCCAAAAAAGTTAATTTAGAACCTGTTTTAGAAGATGGCTTCCAGGAATCTGTCTCCATCTTGTTTGTTTATTTGGATGCAAAACCAAGAGCGAGCTATTTGACGCACGGAGAAAAAAACTTCGTGCATGGGACACCCGAAGTTGAAGTCATACGGATCTCTGAAGTTTTCTGATCACGCATCCGAAAATTTAAGGTCGAGCTGCCGAAGTTCGGGTCAGACATCGAGGCACTTCGGTACGTACCGGAGTACTTCAGATGTGTGACCCGAACCCTTCGGTATGTATCGAAGTACTTCAGATGTCTGACCCGAACTTCGGCAGCTGGTCCTCAAGTTTTTAGATACGTGATCCGAAAACTTCAGAGATCCATATGACCTCAACTTCGGGTCCCACGCATGAAGTTTTTTTCTCCGTGAACATGAGGTTATGTGTTTGTTTACAATTGAAGTATGCCGTAGCCACTAAATCAGTCTATTTGATTCTCGACCTGGGATTTTCGCACTGTGACGTCATCGGTCAAAACTTTTCAAGCTCGCTCTCAAGCGCAACCGCAATCTAGGAAGATAAGACGAGATCTGTTTTTCGCACGGTGGACTAAAATCTCCACAAGCCGGCTGTCAAATATTCGCGCCGGAGCGGTCAAATAAAATTCGGGCGTGAAACGATTGTTTGAGCTGCGCATCGCAGGTTATGTCAATAGTCTCCGGGACAAGTCACCGAATTTACAAACAATGCGCCGAAGCTCGGATCGTCCCGAAACCCGCGAATCGCTCCGGTAGCGCCGGTAATCGGCGAAAAGCTCGCGGTCGCGGCTGGATCTGATTCGATTTCATTTGTCTTTGCGCGGCTCCGATAATGACTTACTCGAAGGCGGCGGGGATCGCGAGGCTTTTCGCTAATGAGCGGCCATTCGCGGGCGATTCGATGCGGCGATTCGAGAGCGAGCTTGAAAAGTCCGTATTGTTTTCCGTCGTCTTCGTCCACGGGATCCTCCTGACCCTCTCCCTGTTTCTGCCCCTCAGGTTGGCGGTGAACAACATGCAGTATTTAAGCAACGTGCTCGGCATCAAGGACCCGATTCACAAGCAGAAGATCGCCCTCAAAGCTATGGATGTCGTCCTCTTCGGCCCGCCCAAAGGTAATCTCAACCGCACCCTCTAGTTTCCGATTGCTTGTGGATCAGTCCGCGTCCAACCCCAACGTTTTCAGTGTTTCCGCGAGTCTCTTTTCGCTTTGTCACGCGGTTTGCATGGTTCGTGCAGTTTGGATACATTACGACTGCGTTTGGCAGAAAGGAACCAAGCCACATCAGCTATTGCCAAATCGACGGTGTAAGTCGGCGATCACATAACTCGTTTGTGGTGTCTGAAAATCTCTGTCTCTATGTTATTTTTTTGAAGGAGAACAAATTGACATCATTTGGACTGCATTTTGCAATTTAGAACTATAAATTCTGGCCCGGTTTAATAACAACGTATGTGTCATTAGTTGCCTTATATGCACATAAGTGGTTTTTCAGATGAGCCAGAATTTATAGTTCGAAATTGAAAAATGCAGTCCATTTCTTGTAGTTCGTGCAGAATTTTCTTCGCACAGAGAAAAAAAATCACAGCAGTTTTAAAAAATTGCCGTTGAGTAGTTTTCCGTTCTAAAAATGAAGTATGGCAGGAAGTCTGCGACGTCGCAAACCGAGTTATGTGATCGCCGACTTACACCGTTGATATTTAATTGGGCATTTTGATTGTTTACATGAAAACGGCTGTACGGATTTGTGTGCAAATTTGCACGGTACGAGGCAAATTTCTTAAAATGTTCAAAGGAATCCGCACAAACGTTCTCTTGTGTAAAATTAGGGTGCCAGGTTAAATTTGGTAATATCTGATGTGGCTTGGTTCATTTCTGATAAACGCGGTATATTTCTACGTACAGTGGACCCTAGATTATCCGATCATCAGAGGTGCCTAAATCTCGCTTTCTTTTTGCTTCGCGGGAATTTTCCGATTTAGTGGCCGAATGTGTGATTTTTCCCACAGTTTTGAAGTTTTGAGCAAAAAACAAAAGAAAAAGAATTGTCTTAATTTTTTAAAATTGCCTCAAGATCCGGGATTTACCTCGCGTTTGCCGCAATCCGTAGACAGTGTGAGCTGGTATTTTTTTGACCCCTGGTGACGGCTAGCTGCGGGTGAGGTATTGTTAAAATTTCAGAATTTGGAGTAACCTGCAGACTCAATTCCCGAATTTGTTGAACACTCATCATGTGCATCCATCCATGCATCAGATACTAACGTAAAAAAGCGTGAATGCACTCTCTTGGCGATGTTAAAAAAAAAGGATATATTTGCCACATTTTCCCCCCTAAATTGATCTGAAAGCAAAAGAATTGCGAAAATTGCTGCCGTATAATGCGGGGCTCGGATAATCGAAGCTTTCTCAGGCTTTACTTGGTTTTCCCTAACTTTTTTTTACATAAAAATATTTTAATTATAGATAATCAAGCATACAATTTCAAATTACTTTACTTTTTGTGAGCAAATTCAAAGCCTCCCTGAAAAATCTGTGAGAAAAAACAACGCTTAAGAATGCCTAATAAGTTTTTGGTAGTCAACCTGGATGCAGATACTAAGATGCTTAAAGGTGTTTTTTGCTGTCTCCGCGTTGGCACTAGATAGTTTGTAGAAGTAGATAATTTGAAAATTTTTAAACAAATGGATGAAAATTCAAGTCCTCCTTTTTTCTCTTCATAATAATTTCTGGAAAATGTTCCCCCTTAAAAAAAGTCCAACACACGTGAAATTCTTGAAAAGTTTCGTGGGGGAAAAAAATTATCGAAAATACCCAATCCACTCGAAGTTTTTTTTTTCAACTCTGCATGAACCATGTATGTAACCGCAAGTTTCAAAAGCATGTGCAGAAAACGTCCCTCTGTGTGCAATCAGTGTTAATTTGTAAGTGAATCTTCGATGTCAGTGCACGAAAATTAGAAGTGTCGGTATCGCTATTTCAGTGTTCGGCTCTCAAATGTGAAGAAATCTTGCTGCAGGCATAGTGGGCGCGTCTCCTGTTTCCAGATCAAGCGCCAATTTTAACAAAGTTTCTTTAAAAGTCTGACAGCCAAATACTTCTAGATTCGTTTTTTCACGTCTAGTTAATCGCGATTTCTCGAGAATGAGCGACCTTTCCTGCCTGTGCGATTTCCTCTTGTACATCATCTTGCAATTGTTGTAACATTGTTGCTTTCGAGAACTCATTTAGTGCGCGAGAAAAATAAGCCAGGTGCACCGGCTGGAACTTCGGCGGTGTAAATACGAAGCCAGGACTTCACTGCCGACGAGTACGTATATTTGTTACTTGCTTTTTGTTGCTTTTCTTGTGAACGGTAACTCAAGGAAAAGGACTTCAGTGTCGATAAAGTGAACATTATGTTGCTCGTATGACTGCTAGACAGGTGTGTCACGCACATTTTGGCAAAAATATGTCAAACCTAATTGAAATTAAAACCATGGTGTCCAGCAGGATCTTTTAAAACTGGATAGTTGGGGACAGTCAGAGAATTCATCAGAGGCTCGGAGTTAAAGACCAGAAATCGTCACCTTTCGGCCAAAGCAAAGTATCACAAGCGCCATGCGACGTTTCAAAATTTCCGCCGCCATTTTATTTTTTACACAGAAATTTTTAGTCGAATCTGTTTGAAAATTTCACTGAATTTTATCCGCAGCATAAAGAAAATTCAGTGAAATTTTCGGACAGTCTCATTGAATAATTTCTCCGTAAAAAAATAAAATGGCGGCGGGAATTCTGAAACGTTGCATGGCGCTTGTGATACTTTGGCCGGATGGTGACGACATATGGACATATTTCTATCGAACGGAACTAAGCGCCATAGGGGGAGGAAGGGAAAGGGGGGCTTGGATTGGCGGGTGTTGCGGAACGCGATGCTCGTTCCGTCCTATACTCGCAATGCTTTTCCATGGCGCTTATTAGTTCCGTTTGACAGAACGCGCTATCCGCGATTCTAAAATCCTCAAATGGAACTCAACAGGCCCTTAGTTCCGTTTAACAGAAATACGTCCATGTGAATGTCATAATGTATGCTGAGAGGAACCAGAATTTCGAAGGAATGATGAGGTCTCGGATACGGAACGATCGTATTTTGGGAATGTGCATTTGAGAAACTCGTCGAAAATCACGTGATGATGAACGCACCGAGAATTTCGGAGGCTCCTTGTATAAATAGCAGGCAGTCAACCACGAAAAAAGTATTTCTTTCGTTGGGAACCTATCCCTTCGAGGGCCGAGAAATCCTAGTAATTATTTACTGTGTTCATGTCATAGATTTTTGGAGGTTATCCATCATTGATGGCTATCTCTCGGCGCCAGCCGTGATACTTTTACTTGTCGTAAAGTGTATCGTTTTCCGTAATCATCAATCAGAAGTTTATAGCGCCGGATCAGGCACGTCTCTTTATTCTTACGCCTTCCGGTGCTTACCGATCTCTTTCAAAAATCAAAATTCTTTTACTGGACATGCTTCAGCAGAGGAAGGAACAAAGTGAATGCATATTGACTAGTGCTGCAGTCGACAAATTCGCGTTTGCGATCGCTATTGTTGTATCGACCTGATGACAGATTGAGAAGTCCGAAATGATCATAGTCTGAACTTCACCAATTTAACAGTCAGGGCCGAGAAATAAAAGTGAATAATTATCTTGGTACTCGAATCAACCTGATAAAGTTATGGAACCTTTCAATTAATTTTTCATCCGATTTAAAGACGAAAAAAGTGATCTCAACATAAATTCTCATAGGATTTAATGGCATTTTCCACCGGTTAAGGGGTGTTCTTCCGATCGCACGTGACTATTTTATTTTTGGAAAAATTCGAAAAAGTGAAGTTTTTCTTTTACTGAGCAATTTTAGGAAGAAAACATGCACTGGGAAAAAAGCACATTGAATCTAGAGTCCAGACTCTTGAAAACATTGACAAGAAAAAATACTCTTGATCCAATCAGATTTAAGCTTAAATCAAAAGGAAATCCGCTCAAATTAAGAGGCTGGGTTATTGATTTATAAGCTTAAATCCGATTGAATCAAGAGTTTTTTTAATTTTTTTTTCTAGTGTGGGCTTACGTGAAGTTTTGTGCAGTTTCAAAACTAATCTCAAAGCTCAACACAATTTTTTTTTTTTTTTTTTTTTTTTTTTTTTTTTTTTTTTTTTTTTTTTTTTTTTTTTTTTTTCTTCCGGATACATGAGATTAGTTTTGCGTCTCCTCAAATCTGCGAGTCAGCGTTGTTTTTGCGCCGCAAGAATAAGACTTATCGCCTCGCCGATTTTTTCCGCTCGAACCATACATTTTTCTCTCTGCGCGGATTTGATGAAAGCTTACTTCGTTGCCCGAGTGTTTCCGGAAGTCACCGGATCTGTTTCTTTTGAGAGTATGTTTGTTTGTTTGAATGGACCACCAGACAAGCTCAAGCGCGGACCGCACGCCGCAATTTTCTCTGAATCTGAGTATCATCGAAGCGTTGATGAGTGTTAATTATGAAAATTGCAGGACCCGTACAATTTTCACGATCATCGATAACATCGAGTTTGGACAACAGTTGGACTACATTTTGCAGTTAGGACCTATAAATTCTAGCCCGATTTAAAAACAACGTGTGTGCCATTAGTTTCCCTATACACATAAGTGTTTTTCCAGAAGAGCCAGAATTTACAGTTCCAAATTGCAAAATGCAGTCTAGTTCTTACAGACTGTTTGAATCAGTGTAGTACAACTTTGATGCGAAAAAGCCTCAAATGTACCGACAGATTTTGCCCCTGATTCAGCAAAAATGTTAGCATCTGATCTGGATCTGATCGTGAGCATTATTTAGAAATCAAGGATATTTTTTTATGTTTTGATGATCTATTGGATTCTATTGGAGGAAATATGGTGACGTCTGGAGGCTCATACGGCGTTCTTCCTTAAGGTTCAGTTACACGATCAAATTGAGCCATCAAACTGAAGCTCTGATTGGTGGAAAAAGACCTGAGGTGAGGATGCGACCAATGAGAGGCCCAATTTGATGGTTCAATTTGATCGTGTAACTGAACCATTAGCACGGCAGTATCATATTTCGGCCTTTCCGAAATTCACC